AATAAAAGTGTGTGTGTGTGTGTGTGTGTGTATATATATATATATATATATATATATATATATATATATATATATATATATATCTATCTCTCTGTCTGTCTGTCTGTCTGTCTGTCTGTATGTACGTACGTACGTATTTATGAGTGTGTACGTGCGCGTATACGTATATATATATATATATATATATATATATATTCATACGTACGCATATGCATATGCAAGTATGCATGTATGTATGAGCGTGTGAGTGCGCGGATGTGCGTGTGCGTGCGCGGGCGTGTGTATGCATATACGCGCTCGCGCGCGCGTTTGTATATAAAGACATATATACTGGCAGTGAATATTATTTTGCTTACTCGTAAGCCGCTTTTGAAAATTACCATTAAAAGAAAGTAGCCATAGGTACGCGTCGTTGGCTACTAACAAGCGAACGGAGCAACGTCGGAGTGCGAAGCCCGTTTTCTAAGAAATGTATGAACGAGTACTCGAGAATAAAGCAGGACAGCCCCCTCCCGCCCCAAACCCACCCAAGCCCGAGCGCACTATCCGCCGCATTGATCGTAATCTATTATTCTGTGTTCTGTGTGTGTTCATAAATGTCGATAACCCTCGGGAACACACGTTATACACCGTGCGTGCGTGAACCCGAAGGCAACCGGTGGTGAGCCGATCGCAGGACGAAGCATCCCAGTGCAGCAGCCGAAGCAACAAAAACAGCACCCTCTCGACGTCGACCGCGTCATCGGGCATGCAGACGACGACGACGAGCGCGAGCCAGTGTAGGAAGCCGGTCGCGAGGCTTCAACCCGAGGCCGTCCTCTATCCCTGTCCTGGTCAGCAGGACCCGCTGCAGGACTCGAGGCTCATGTGGGCGACCCTGACGCCCCGCGGCACCACGCGCCACTACCTCGAGGAGCACACGTACGAGAGCGTCGAGCAGCAGGAGCACCTGGAGCAGCAGCAACCGCAACAACAGCACCAACGTCGTCAACCTTCCTACTCCGAGAGTCCGAGTGAACATGTAAACCTCAAGGCAATTCCAACAATTTATTTGTCACTCTACATGGACGCCGACTTTAGTCTCCGTCATTCGCAACACGGACGTCTTTTCACACCTTTCGTCTATTCTATTCCCCATTACGCTATTATCACTGTTCAGCTCTCTTTCGCTCTGACTGTCTAACCTCCCAATCTCTTTAACTTTCTTTCACTCTTACTCTCACTCTCAGTCTTTTTAACACGAGAGAGCGAGATAGAGAGAGAGAGAGAGAGAGAGAGAGAGAAGAGAGAGAAGAGAGAGAAGAGAGAGAAGAGGGAGAAGAGGGAGAAGAGGGAGAAGAGAGAGATGAGAGAGAGAGAAGAGAGAGAAGAGAGAGATAAGAGAGAGATAAGAGAGAGAAGAGAGAGAGAGAGACAGAGAAAGAGAGAGAAAGAGAGACATAAAATACACTAACACGTACACGTACAACTCCCACCTCCACCGCCCCCCCCACCACCCCGACCACCCCAGCCACTCCACCGGGCCCTGTTCACTTTCTTACTTTCTGTCGCACGCGATTGTGGGCCCGACAACGCATCTCCCTAGTGCATTTCGCATACGTAATCGACGACTATTGTACGAGCGCACAACACGAGCTTACACGTAAATTTCACCTATCGATTTTCGCCCGATCCGTAGTCTTGCTGCGGTATACTGATCTCGGCTGCTTCATTATTAACTCTTGTCCAGCCCTTTCATTTTTGGCAAATTAAGTGCGTCACTTTTTACAATGGCCCTTTATTAGTTTCTCTAGTTGTAAAATGAAGGAGCAAATTTTCACAACTACTTCGTCCTGGCCGCGCTTACGCTGCTTAATTTTTTTCGACTTTTTTTATTAGCTAAACTGCAATGTATTTTTGATGTATTATATATATTGTTGTTGCTTGTATGAAAAAAATGTGCCATTTTAATCGTCGGTGGCAGTTTGAGTTGCATATGCTAATGAATGCAATTAAGTGATAATACGATTAGATAGACTTCGCGTTATGCTATTTCAAATTCATTTAACTTTGTGAATAATTATTAAAAAATTCGTATTTTAAAAATAATAAATTACTCTTGATAATCTTGAGGTTTACTTTGGACAAAATATTGAATTAAATTTTTTTTCATTTTTTTAATCGAACATTCTCTGAAAAGCATATTTTTAATATACATACATACACAAGCACGCGCACACGCACGCGCACACGCACGCGCACACGCACGCGCACACGCACACTTAAAAAATACATGGGTATATTTATATAGGCACGCATACACACACAAAGTATAAATATACTTATGCATATACATATATGTATGGTAATATGAAATTCTATTTGCCTTTGCCAAAATACCTATGATATTTTCTAACAGGAAAGCTTTTTTCATCATCGTATGCACCATAAATGTTGAAACGATTAAATTTGAATATATTGTTAAGAATTAAATTTTATGAAATATGCTGATGCGGTAACATTGAAAATCAGCCAAAAACCAATTTTTCTCTCAAAAATTATCTACATTTGTTTGGCGAATCTAGGAGATAAATTTTAATAGGCTATAATGTCAAATTAATATTATCGATTCATCCAAAGCATAACTCTATCCATGATCTAGTTAAATCTTATTCTTTTCTCTTCCTTTTCTTTCTTTCTCTCTTACTCCTCTTTCTCTCTTTCTCTCTTTCTCTCTTTCTTTCTTTCATTTTTTTCTTTTTTCATTCAACAATAAAGATAAAAAATGTATTATAATTTCCATTTACTTCGCCGTGTATATTCCTGCGGAGAGAAAGCTTACACTTTCGTTGTAGCACTATACGTGTTAAATATCCAAAGCATTGTATGCTAATATTTAATTATGCATGTATAATTATATGTCTTACCAAATTACTAGGTCACCATTGTGATAATACTTTTATGTGCACTGTTTTTCGAAACGGTCATGTTGTTTTCAGTATTTTTTGCTAGATATTGGTTATTTTTGTGCTGTATTTTATCTGAAAGACAAAAAGCTTACAATTGAATTAGTCATCGTTAAGTTATATAGTATTGTATTGCGAATGTGAAATATGTATAATTGTAAATCGATTGTGTAATTGCACTTTTTAGTTTAATTAAAAAAATTAATTCTATTTAAAAGTTATTTACGATTGTATATATATATATATATATATATATATATATATATATATATATATATATATATATATATATATATTATATAAAGCTCTATTTCGCTTTAATATTTCAAGTCTTTTAAATCTCAGTCCTTATTCAATTATTTCATTTGAGGGTGATATTTTATTAAATATGTTTATGAATGTATACATCGTATTACTTTGAGAAATGTCATTCGCGCCAAAGCAATTAAATTGTTTCCTTGATAATCGAATCGCGATTTCCAAAAATAATGAAAAATAGAAAGTGCCGCGCTTTGCCATGCATGTCGTTGTTATCCAATTATAATATTCAATAAAACGATAATTAATAAACACTACCACTTTAGATGTACGATTTTAAATAAAATAATCATTTTGCAGACTTATAGCCAACCGTCTGTACCATCTTCTATTCTGACTCGTTCGAAGGATGAAAAAGCCTTTGATAACACTGCGTTCGTCGATTACGAGGAGCCGCTATCGATAAAAAATGAGTATTATCAACTGGAGGATGTTTTGGAACCCTGTGATCCAAGTAAATATTATCGCTTTAAAAATTCATGATCATCGATAAATTTGCAATAACCGTAGCCAGTTAATTGGACTGAGGTGGCATAGAATATATTCTTTTCAAATTTATCGATAATTATAATGATTATTTAACGTAACAATCACGGACAATCGCCAATTATGTATTTGTCTTTGATAATACAATTTTCATTTGGTTTATTCTTTCAATTTTATGGTTGCAATGAAAGCTCTTTTATACTTTACTCGTTACTCCACTAAATTATCTAAAAATTGATTCTTTCTTATTTATGTCTATTTATTTATTTTTTTCTTCGTAATAAATGCGCAATCCACATTTTCAGTTTAAAATGACAATAATAATATTGAATACCGTAAAATTAATAATTATATAGCTTGAACAACGTATCATTACATACAGATGTAAATAACGATAAAGTAATTTAAAAATCTATTGAATTAGAGGGATATTTTCAAGCGTCGTCAAGTATGAATGTTTGTAATGTTTGAATAGAAAATATTTTTAAAAGGATGTTTTATCGCTGATAATGAATGATCATATTATCGCATTATTTCAGTCACCTATCTACTTACGGAAATGAAATACAAGTTGTGTGTGTGTGTGTGTGTGTGTGTGTGTGTGCGCGCGCGCGCGCGCGCGTGTGTGAGAGAGAGAGAGTGAGAGACGCGTACAAGTATAGAGTTGTTCGAGTAATCGACTTTTAAGATTTCTTCAAGCCCGTAACATCAATCGAAGCAGTTTTCACGGATGCACACACGACGACGATCAATTATCGAATTACAGCGATAATAACTTTAAACGTCATTTTTACGTAATTATGATATTTTATCATTATATTGCAATGTAACAATTTGGTGAGCATAAATCAATAGAGTGGCAGTTGGTGTAATATAATTGGCAATGCTCAAAGGCTTTTCACAGCTAAAGGGAATTAATTTTAAGATGTAATATTTTTTCAATAGCTCTAAGGAAATGGGAATAGGCGTTACAAGGAAATTACGGCGCGCTAGCGAGGCTTTTCTCGATCAACATTGTTACAAAGCTTCGACGTAATGAACGTGACGTTCGTGCTCACGACACTCGCAACTAGAATCGTGCGGCTGACGCTTACTAGCAGGTCAACGAGGCACGAATTAACTTCCTCCCTCAATATGACTAATAAAAAGATACGGGAGTCGGTCTTTGCGCTACATTTGCCGTTAGATTTCCCGCACAATCGGACGGCACGGTGCAGGCTCCCCCCCCCCCTCCCACCCCCTCC